GCAGAAGCCGGATGGTGCTGCCGCCGCAGCTGCTGCTGGTGCTGCTGCAGCTGCTGCTGGAAGTACACCTCCAGGAGCAGACAGGGAGCAGCAGCAGCAGCAGCTGTCGCAGCAGCAGCAGCAGCAACAGCTTCCAAGAGATGCGCTGCAGTTCATGGATGGCCTGCGCTTTGGGGTTGCGCCTGCATGCAGCAGCAGCAGCAGCAACAGCAGCAGCAGCAGCAGCAGCAGCACGCCCTTTTCGCGTGTTCTCCCATTCAGTAAGAACGGCGGAGCGACCGAAGCAGCAGCCCGTGCTGCAGCAGCCCTGTCACCAGCAGCAGCAGCAGCAGCAGCAAGTATTTGCCCGACGCTGCACGTAGACGCTACGATATCTCTCGAGGTTTGCGGAGAGGAGTCCTTTAGGGTGGTGGCGCTGCAGCAGCAGCAGCAGCAGCAACAAACGAAGAAGCATGGGGCTTCAAGCAGCAGCAACAAAGGCGCTGTCTGGAGCCCTTTGCTGCCACGGCCAGTCGGGGACTATCTGCAGGTGCTGCTGCTGCTGCTGCTGTTGCTGCTGCTGTTGTTGCTGTTGCTGCTCCTGCTTTTGCTGCTGCTGTTGCTGCGGCTGCTGTTGCTGTTGCTTCTGGTGCTGTTGGTGCGGCTGCTGTTGCTGTTGCTGTTGCTGATTCTGCTTTTGCTGCTGTTGCTGCTGCTGCCACACTGCCTTGCTCCTTTTGATGTACTTGTTGGCGTTGCTGTTGTTGTTGCTGCTGCTGCTGCTCATGCGGGCGCTAGTCTTACTTCTGCTGCTGCTGTTGCTGCTGCTCAAGCAGCTTGAGGTGCTGCTACTCTTGCTGCTGCTCTCTGCTGCCGTTGTTGCTGCTACCTCCACTGTACGCTGCAGCTCCTACAACTTCTGCTGCTGCTGCTGCTACTGCTGCTGCTGCACTTCAGGCTCTTAAAGCTGGATGGGCTGCGGCGGAGAAGGACACACACGCAACACTCGGCAGCAGCAGCAGCAACAGCAGCAGCAGCAGCAGCAACAGCAAGTTGAGCAGCAGCTGCGGCAGCGCAGTAGACCCAGGTCCCTTCAACGCCTCTCGTTATTCTCAAGTGCTTGAGGGGCTTAAGAAGGCATGTGCTGCTGCTGCTGTTGTTGTTGCTGCTGCGTCTGCTGCTGTTGCAACTTCTGTTGTTGCTGCTGCTGGTTGATGCTGCTGCTGCTTCTCATGGTGGTGGTGGTGGCGGTGCTGCTGCTGCTGCTGCTGATACTGCTGTTTCCATCGCATATGTTGCTGTTCCTGCTGCTGCTGCTGCTGCTGCTGCGCGCTGATGTTGGTGCTGCAGTAGTAGCTGCGGTTGCTGCAGTAGCAGCAGCAGCAGCACCACGTGCTGCTGGTTTCGGTGCTGCTGGTTGTAACGCGGAAAGAACTGCTGCTGCATCACTTTCTGTTGTTGCTGTTGCTGCTGCTGCTGCTGCTGCTGCAGAGTTTTACCTTCACTGCTTTGGAGCCTATCCCTTCCTTCGTGCTGCGGGCTTTTGCTGCTTTTCAACAGTTTGCTGCTGCTGCTGCTGTCCCCAAGAAGACGGCGCTGGTGCTGCTGCGGCATAAACTGCCTCCTCCTCCGCAGCTGCTAAGCCTGCAGCAGCAGCAGCAGCAGCAGAAGCACCAGCAGGACAAGCAGGAACAGCAGCATGAAGGGGCAGCAAGTGCAGCAGCGCCTGATGCTTCAGGAGCAGCAGCAGCAACAGCAGCAGCAGCAGCAGGATCATCTGCTGTTGCTGAACCACCTTCCAGTGCAGGAGCAGCAGATTCATCATCAGCACCAACAGGAGCAGCAGCAGCAGCATCAGGGGCGCTCTCAGCCGCATCCGCAGCAGGAACAGCAACAACAGCAGGAACAGCAGCAGCAGCAGCAGCAGCAGCAGGAACAGCAGCAGCAGCAGCAGCAGTTGATGCTTCTCTGTTTGCTTCACTGCGAGACTTTCAAAAAGAAGGCGTCGCCTTCGGCCTCCACCGCCACGGCCGCGTTTTAATTGGAGATGAAATGGGGCTAGGAAAAACCATCCAGGTAAATGCATTAGCTAGCTAGCTAGCTAGCTAGCTAGATATCTAGATAGATAGATAGATAGATAGATAGATAGATAGATAGATTGATAGATAGATAGATAGATAGATAGCTAGATAGATAGATAGATAGCTAGATAGATAGATAGCTAGCTAGATTGATAGATAGATAGCTAGCTAGATTGATAGATAGATAGATAGATAGATAGATAGATAGATAGATAGATAGATAGATAGATAGATA